TCCAAGGTGTCGGCAACTCGCTCGATTTTACTCTTCGGTTCCGTACGAACTCATCCGAACTCGAAATCGAGTTCCGCTTTTTCCTGTGTGTAGCTAACAAGCTCCTCTTTCCATTAATGTGATCATGCTCAATAACTTTCCAAAATCCTGCTCTTCCGAGATTTTCGACCGTTCCTTTATTTTACAAATACTCGAAAAATACAAAAAAAATATACAAAATTCCACACAAATACTTAAATATTACAAGTTACTAAATAAAACTAAAAACTACCCAAAATCCCACAAACTTACTAAAAATATATAAAAATAATAATAAAAAACATTAATAAAAACATAACAAAAATAACACTAACATTAACATACATTCCAAAATATTACAATATATTCTCCTCCAAAGAAAAACAAAAATGTTTGATCTATTGTTTATAATTACCATTATATTGGTTATTATATACGCTTTAGGAATTTTCACGATGTTGTATCATAGTGCTGAATTTATATTTTATGTATTAGGTCTTTTTCTAATGTGTTTCTTATTAGCTGTTCTGATCGATTTGAATAATGAATTTGTATTTGTAATTTTCTTAAATCTTAGCATTGATGTTGTATTTTATAGTTACCATGTCAAATTTGGTGAAGCTCGAGTTTGAGGCACTTGACATCACTGGAAAAAATTACATTTCATGGACACTAGATGCTGAAATTCATCTTGATGCAATGGGATTGGGAAAAACAATAATTTCCCCAAATGATTCATCCATACAAGAAAAAGCGAAAGTAATGATTTTTCTAAGGCATCATATGAATAAGGGGTTAAAAAATGAATATTTAAATGTGAAAGATCCAGTGAATCTTTGGAAAGCCTTGAAAGAAAGGTATGATCATCAAAAAACAGTTATTCTCCCCCGGGCTCGCCATGAATGGATGTCATTACGTTTCCAAGATTTTAAAAAAGTGAGCAAATATAATTCAGCAATGTTTCGAATTTGCTCTGTGCTGAAATTATGCGGGGAAACGGTAACTGACTATGATATGCTAGAAAAAACATTGTCCACGTTCCATGTGTCCAATGTACTTTTGCAACAACAATATCGAGCAAAAGGTTTTGAGAAATATTCTGAGCTGATTTCTTGTTTGTTGCTGGCTGAACAAACAATGAGATATTAATGAAAAATCATGAATCTAGACCCACGGGGTCTACTGCGGTCCCTGAAATAAATGTTGTAATCTCCAGATAGGGAACCGGAAATGAAAACAGTCATACTCATGGACACCGATATGACTTGGGTCGTGGCCGTGGATATGGTCCTAATCACAGTTATGGCCGAGGACAAAAATTTCACCTAGGATACAATTCCGGCCGAGGATACAATCGTGGACATGACCAAAATGATGCCCAAAACTATGAAAGGGGGAGAAATTTTCAGCAAAATTCTGGACATGATAAAGGGGAAGAAAATTTAATGAAAAATAATGATGAGAAAGCATGTTATCGATGTGGTAGAAAGGAGCATTGCACTCGAAATTGTCGAGCCCCAAGGCACGTGGTTGAAAGTTACCAGGATTCCCAGAAATCAAAAGGGAAGAATATTGAAACTAATTTTATGATGGGAGAATCTTCTGGAAGTGAACCGATACGTGCAAAGGATGACTATAACATCGATGATATGCTGAGAATGGATTTTGCTGATGCAGCGTTTGAAGAAGGAGCTGCAAATAATCAAGAATTATTGATGATCTGTTTACTGTGTGTTGATGAAATTTCTATGCATGATTGTAATGGTTTGTGAACTATGATTGTAATAATTGATGATCTATTTTGAAATTGATCAATAATATTTTTCATTTTTGTTTTAGATCATGGAACAGTCCCGAAACCAAAATGGAGATTTATGTCTTGAAGATTGTGCCACTACCCACACTATACTCAAAGACAGAAAATATTTTGTTCACTTAGAAACAAATAAAGAGAAAGTGAACACAATATCCGGGTGTGCAAAAATAATTGAGGTGTCTGGAAAGGCAATATTTTTTATGATGGGAGGTACAAAATTTACATTGAATGATGCGTTATTCTCCCCAAAATCAATAAGAAACTTGTTGAGTTTTAAAGATATCCGAATGAACGGATACCAAGTTGAAACAATGAATAAAGGGGGAGATGAATATCTTTGCATTACCTCAAATATTGCGGAATATAAATGTATTTTGGAGAGGTTACCCGCCTTATCTTCGGGTTTATATTACACCCGCATTCATATAATCGAGGCTTATGCTACAACCAATTCAAAGTCAAATGAAATGTTTAAACTTTGGCATGATCGACTTGGTCACCCTGGCTCGATAATGATGAGAAGAATTATTGAAAATTCTAATGGCCATCCATTGAAAAACCAGAGGATATTGCAAACACATGAATTGACATGTGCCTCATGTTCTCAAGGGAAATTGATAGTGAGACCATCACATACTAAAGTCGGACATGAATCACCATTATTTTTAGAAAGGATTCATGGTGATATATGTGGACCTATTCATCCACCTTGTGGTCCGTTCAGATATTTTCTGGTGTTGATTGATGCTTCTAGTAGATGGTCTTACGTGAGTTTGTTATCCACTCAAAATGTGGCATTTGCCAAATTACTCGCCCAACTTATTAAATTAAGGGCTCAATTCCCAGATTATGTTATCAAAAGGGTCAGACTTGACAATGCTGGTGAGTTACATCTCAAGAATTTAATGTTTATTGTATGGAAGTGGGAAATTGATGTTGAACATCCTGTGGCACATGTTCACACTCAAAATGGTCTAGTTGAATCATTAATTAAACGATTGCAGCTTATTGCTAGACCATTAATAATGAGGACAAAACTCCCCACTTCAGTATAGGGACATGCTATTCTGCATGCGAATGGTCTAATTCGAATAAGACCAAGTACATACCATACATACTCGCCATTACAGTTGGCATATGGTCGAGAACCAAATATTGTACATATAAGAGTTTTTGGTTGTGCAATGCATGTACCAATTGCTCCACCCCAACGTACAAAAATGGGGCCTCAAAGAAGGTTGAGAATATATGTTGGATATGAATCTCCATCAATAATCAAATACCTTGAGCCAAAAACAGGTAATGGCTTTACAGCTCGGTTTGATGATTGCCATTTTAATGAAGAATTATTTCCCCCCTTAGGCGGAAATGAAAAATCAATTGAAAGAAATATTGAATGGAGAACATCATCACTATCATATCTTGATCTTCCCACCAAACGAAGAGAGCAAGAAGAGAGATCATACATTTGCAGAATATTGCAAATCAACTGCCAGATGCATTTACTGATTTAAAAAGGGTGACCAAATCACATGTGGCAGCTGTAAATGCCCCTGCTCGAATTGAGATTCCAAAAGAAATAGAAAATGATAATATGCCAAATGAGTCAAAGACACGCTTGAAACGAGAAAGACCAATTGGGTCTAAAGATAAGAATCCTGGAAAGAAAAGAGAAATTCATAACTCGAATTTGAAAAAGAATCAAGATGATGAGAAAATTTCGGGAAAAAATGAAAATATTGAAATTTCCATTAATTACGTAAATAATGGGAATCTTTGGAAGCGTGATGAGATCATAAATATTGATGATGCATTTGCATATATGGTATCAAAAGAAATTGATAATGAAGTTGAGGATCCTGAACCAAAATCTGTAACTGAATGTCAGAAAAGACATGATTGGGATAAATGGAAAGGCGCCATCTAAGCCGAGTTAGATTCACTCAATAAACAAAAAGTTTTTGGGCCTATTTCCATTGCGCCAAAAGGCATAAAACCTATTTGATATAAATGGATTTTCATCAGAAAAAAAAAATGAGAAAAATGAGATCACGAGATATAAAGCTCGCCTTGTAACACATGGATTCTCCCAAAGGCCTGGGATCGATTATGATGAAACATATTCCCCTGTCATGGATGCAATTACTTTTAGATACTTGATCAGTTTAGCTATCTATGAAAATCTTGAGATGCGTCTCATGAATGTTGTGACTGCTTACTTGTATGGATCATTAGACACCGACATATACATGAAAATCCCAAAAGGAATCAGAATGCCCGAAGCATTAAAATCCAAGCCTAAGGAGTTATGTGCAATAAAGCTGCAAAGGTCATTATATGGCTTGAAACAATCCGGGCGTATGTGGTATAATTGTTTGAGTGAACAATTGCTTAAAAGGGGATACTTAAATGATCAAATATGTCCGTGTGTCTTTATAAAGAAATCACATGATGGAGTTTTGATAATTGTTGTCTATGTTGATGATCTTAATATTATTGGGACAGCAAATGAAATTCGAGAAGCAGTCACTTTTCTGAAAGGCGAATTTGAAATGAAAGATCTCGGAAAAACCAAATATTGCCTCGACTTACAGATAAAGAGAGTACAAAATGGGATATTTGTCCATCAATCTAACTATACTAAAAGAGTATTAAAACGATTCAATATGGACAAAGCTAATCCCCTTAGTACTCCGATGGTTAACTGAACATTGGATGTTGAAAAGGATCCATTTCGACCTTGTGAAGAAAATGAAGAAATACTTGGTCCTGAGATACCATATATGAGTGCAATAGGGGCTCTTATGTATCTTGCTAATTGCACCAGACCAGATAAATCTTTTGCTACCAACTTATTAGCAAGATATAACTCGTCACCTACGAGGAGACACTGGAACGGAATCAAGCATATATTCCGTTATCTCCAAGGAACAACCAATCTGGGATTATTTTACTAAAATGATAAAAAACATGAAATGATTGGTTTTGCAGATGCAAGATATTTATCAGACCCACATAAGGCGAGATCTCAAACTGGCTACGTATTCACGATTGGTGGAACTGCATTTTCTTGGCGTTCTCAGAAACAAACTCTGGTTGCTACATCTTCAAACCATGCTGAAATCATTGCACTTCATGAAGCAACTAGAGAAAGCATCTGGCAAACATGACTCAGCACATTCAACAAGCCAGTGGATTATCGAATAATAAAGATCCGACGGTGATATTTGAAGACAATGCAGCATGTGTCGCTCAAACCAAAGAAGGATACATTAAGAGTGACAGAACTAAACATATCCCACCGAAGTTCTTCTCGTATACTGAAGAGCTTGAAAGGAACAAACAGATTAAGATTCAATACATCCGATCAAGTGATAATGCAACAGATTTATTTACAAAAGCGCTCCCAACTACAACATTCCAGAAGCACGCCCACAACATTGGAATGAGACATCTTCGAGATTTGCACAGATGATAACTCGAGGGGAGCATGTGCGGCTATACTCTTTTTTTCTTATCTCGGTTTTTTTCCCCCACAGGGTTTTTCTGGATAAGGTTTTTAACGAGACAACATAAACGCACATTTTATAGTGGTAATTCCAAGGGGGAGTGTTGTGAATAGTATTGTACAGTGTACTTACCACTATTTCAAAATAGTAATATTATGATGATAAAAGTTTTTGTGGAGGAAATATAGTATCGGTAGAATTTGCCTATAAAAGGCACTGCAAATGCAATGGAAAATACACATTCAGAAGAGAAAGAAAGAAAGATTGAGCATAAGTTATATCCAATTTTTCTAATGTGTTCTTTATCTTTCCGTTTTTATAACAACTTCAAGGTATTAGTTTGAACAATAGAATACTATAAATTATGGAAAATAATAAAAGGACTAAAATTAAAAAAATGTTCAAAACAAATATAATTGGATTACCCAATCTGATTTTTTTGCAGGAGGCGAACTGGTTTTAGATAAGAGAAGTCAAAAACAAGGAAGCAGCAAGAGAGGAAGCCAAAGCACGCAGCAAACAATGGAGGGGTTGCTGCACCCTATTAGACTGAAGCATCTTCTCCACCTCACCGATTTCTGCAGACCCGCCAAAACCAATTTTCGCTTTGCAAAATCGCGACCCTTTTGCACCGTCCGCTGCTCTTCTTCCGCCGCCGCGGTTGTCCCTGGTGGCCGAAATCGCAGACCCTCCTCTTCTCCAACTTCAACGTCCGACAGAGAGGCTATTCGCTCCATTCGGATTAAAAAGGTCTAATTTTGCCGCTTGTACGAAACTAATGATTATTGGCTATATGAATTTCTTATTTGGAGAAATGTAGACTATTTTGATTTGTATGCTTCTAATTGGAATGGGACCTTTCTCCATAAATGTTTCATACATTATTCATGTTGCCAATATGATTGATGCACGCTTGTAATTTACATGCTGTGTTAGTTGTTGAAAATTTTCCATATGCTGTGTACTACCGAGCTTTATGCTTTTGTAATGTTATGTAAAATAATTTTTCTTGGTGAGACTACGAAAAGCAAATGCTTTTATGCTTCTGAATTGCTATGTTAAATAAGTGTCCTTGGTGAGTCTGAGAGAACAAATGTAATATATGAAGCGGCAGTTTCATGATGGGGGCTTGCTTTGAGGATCTCATACTCTGTTAGGAGCCGCTTTTTAACATCGAAAACTAAGTGTTGAAGTAGACTTTTTGAGTGAATCAGAAGTTCAAATTATTTTGATCTGAATGATAGTGATGTATGGTTACATCCATTTGAAACTGATTTTATGTATATAGGTGCAAGATCTGAGGAGCAAGGGTTTAGATCCCTATGCTTACAAGTGGGAACGTACTCATACAGCAAATCAGCTTCAAGAAATTTACAGGGATTTAGAAAATGGTGACGAGTCCACTGGCGAGAGTGACAATGTATCTATTGCTGGAAGAATTGTGGCTCGAAGGGCATTTGGGAAGCTTGCTTTTCTAACTTTGAGGGATGATTCAGGGACGATACAGGTTCTTCTCAGTATGTTTTGTTGATTCATAAATTGTGATTCACTGAGATGGCATACCTGCGTTCGGCTTTCCTATGCTTATAGTTGTGCTTGTAGGTGTTGATTTTGTCTTCTACTCATACATCGTAGCTTCAGTTTTATTCATGATACTGCGTAATCTTGAGAAAATGAGTGTGCATGTATGTTAGTGCATGTTTCAAAAGGCTACAAAATTTGGAAGTTCTGCTGATGAACCACAAAGCGCTTGTAATTTGATTGTATATGCTTATGTGGTTCACAGAAAATACAGGAAGAACTGTTGCTGGCTTAGTTATTTTTATAATATTGAATTACAAAATCAGAAAAATAACTTGAAAACCAAAGGTTCTGTACAACTCATTTGCATGGTTTCTGCATTAGTTGATAGAGAAACAAAGTTTTAAGCAATACCTTCCTGTTACGCTGTTGGGTTCTTCTCAACTTCTCATGGTCTGGCTGATATGTAGTTTTTTTTGGCTGAAATACAATTATTTGGTCAAGTACTGTCAACTAGAAGAGCCTAATACCTATTATAAGTCTTTTTGTTGAAATATTATAATGCTTTTGCAACTGCTTGATGCAATCATCTGTTCCTCTTTCTGTTAGTTTAAATTATTTTCTTAAGTTTTGCTTTCTTTGTTGTCATTTAAGTAGCTTTCTCACTAGTGCTTTTGTGTGTGAACCAATTTTCCTGATTGCATGTAGGAGTGAAGTTATTTCTTTTTGTTGTTTTAGCTTTATTGTGAGAAGGAAAGGCTGCTAAGTGATCAGTTCGAACTTTTGAAGGCACTGGTTGATATAGGTGATATTTTGGGGGCAAGGGGCTCAATTAAGCGCACTGAAAAAGGTATATGTTCTTGTTTTGTCTTACTATCTTATTCTGGAGAATTTTATAGAGGATTATCCAGTTCAATAGCTGTGTTATAATTGTGTACACTTTGGAGTATGTAGAAGATTGAAATCTGACTGTGTTAGACAGTCGACAGATGAATATATCATTCGTTATTTACTGTCTTGATGCACTACAGGATCAATGCTTGTACATATGATGATTGTCAGACTTTCAGGAATCTCCCTAACCCCAAATGTGTACAATGGTTTACAGATAAACTATTTTTGAAATAAAGCCATTTTTCTTATCTTCCTGTAAACGTTTTTTGATCATTTAGTTTGGTCATTTGGCAATATTAGTGGGAATGCTGGAAGAACAACCTCGTAATAAGATATTTTTCCAGGCTTTTAAAACTTTTTGTTCTGATATGAAAATGCGAGCATAACTGTTGAGATTCATTTTGGGGCTAGGCATGAGTCGAGGAAAAAAGTATGAAAATATACCGACGCACTATATTATAATGGTAGTTCTTTTATCAATTTATTTGTGTTAGAAGTTATGTTTTTCTCACATAGATTAGTTACTTGGCTATTATTTTGAATAAGTATGGGTTGGACCCTGTTTTTTTGAGTTGGGAATGAGTTCTACCGAGATCCATTTATACTGATATAGGAGAACACATGATTGTTTGTTGGTAGCGATGTTGGGTTTTGAACGGAGACCCATTTTGTTTGGCACGCTACACGTTTAGAAGCTATATATATCCCACATCAATTAGTTGGCTATTATTAATGTGGTTTGGGCACCCTCTACCTTTGAGCTAGCTTTTGGGATGAGTTCCACCCATACCCATTTATCAATTTATAACAGAGCCACACCAATCTGTTCAATTCAGCAATGATTATGGGTTATAAATTGTTTGATTAGAGATTATCATTTTGAAGGGGCATTATATTTGATATCTTAGTGCAATTCTTTCCTCTCTTTATTTATTGAACACATCTCATTAACTTGTTCATCTTGTGATATATCGTCTTTGTGCTGTTTTTCTTTTTTTCTTTTCTTTTGAAGGGGAGTTATCTGTTTGCGTGACTTCATTCTCAATCCTAACAAAGTCTCTACTCCCTTTGCCCGATAAATATCATGGCCTGACAGATGTAGATAAACGCTATCGTCAAAGGTTCAACTCTCTCTTTTCTCATTTCATGTCTATGCAATATGCATGCTACACAAGCAGATATCGTGCTTAGGTATCTACATTGTCCATTGAAATACTTTACGATGATTAGTTTCTCATCACTAAACATTTGGAGAAATGACTTCTTTATTACAAAGTAATGGAATATCACTATGATAATTTTCACTTTAACATTTTTCTCTATAGCCACTTAATCGGCTACAAAATCTGCTTGCTTTTCTCTGTAGTGATTGTATGGCTGGTTCAATTCTTTTGCTTAGAAGTAACTTTCTTTTTTTGAAGGTATGTAGATATGATTGCGAATCCTGAGGTGGCTGATGTATTTAGGAAAAGAGCTAAGGTTTGTTCCTTTATTATCATTTTCCTCTTACCTTCCATTTCTACACCAAATGTCTGTGGCACCTGGTGAGGTGCTAACTTTTGGCTGTTTTCAGTAGATTATATCAGAAATACGGAAGACGGTAGAATCTGCTGGTTTTATTGAAGTTGAAACTCCAGTTCTTCAGGTACGTAAGACTTTATGCCAGTATGAATTACTGGATTGTGTTTAATTTAGCGGTCGCTTTCCCTCTTGAAGCATTGCTTGTAGATAAATGGGTAAAAATCACTTTTTGTTTGATTTCTCTTTCTTTCATAATCATGTCAGTTTTGAGTTTGTTATGCTCAGAGCATCCGCATGCTTTGGGTCTATTAAAAAAACTTACATGCCATTTAGGAACTATACCTAGTGAAAAAGATACAAGTAGAGACTAGAGACCTAGTCTCTTTGCATTGATATTGTTTTGGCTATTTTTACTTGGACTTATATACATAGGAAAGATTGGACCCAAAGCATTGTGGGTGCTCTAATAACAATTCTCTTTCCTTTCAATGTCATTTTCCTTTTTTATTTTTCTTGGCTGGGTTTTATTTGTAATTTCTTCCATCTCTGAGGTCGAATAAGGAAACAATAGACTGCGTTCACCAGAACGTGTTGAATATGTATATATATTTCTTTAGTCTTAGTTATTGGTTAATTCTGTATATTAGGGTGCAGCTGGTGGGGCCGAAGCTAGGCCATTCATTACATACCATAACTCCCTTGGGCAAGATCTTTATCTGCGAATTGCAACTGAGCTCCATTTGAAGAGAATGCTGGTAATTTAAATTTTCTTATCGTTTTTACACATGAGTTCTGCTTCCTCAGTGATAATATGCACGAGCTGAAGCTAGGCCGATCGATAGTTCAGTGATTCTTCTTATCATTTTTGTGCATCTTGTTGCATTAATATTTATTGCCAATCAATAGGTTGGTGGATTTGAAAGAGTGTATGAGATAGGCAGAATATTCAGAAATGAAGGCCTTTCAACTCGCCATAATCCCGAGTTCACCACAATCGAGGTAAAATGAATTCTTGAACACCGTCTCACTATTTTCCAGAGAATTAACAAGGATAAGATATAGTTCACGGTTCACCAAATCACATGCCTACCTTTTTCACATTAATTTTCAGCTGTAAAAAACTTAGTCATTCCATAATGATAGTGACCGATTATATTCTTTGTGTGATAATTAGATGTATGAAGCATATTCGGACTATGAAAGCATGATGAACATGGCAGAAGACATAATCACACGTTGTGCTCTTGCCGTTAATGGGAAACTCGCCCTTGATTATCAGGTATGCCTTTTTTTTTATGTGTTTTTAAGATTTATAACCTGAAGTGTCCGAGGCAGAATGTATTTATCACATAAAGATGTATATCTCTGACCTGATTTCTTGAAAAACGCAAATATTTTGGTTTTTCCTAAAGGAAAAGTGATTCTTTTGTGTTGATGGTTTGTTGCAGGGGAAAGAGATAAGCTTAGAGAGGCCATGGAGGCGTGAGACAATGCATAATCTAGTGCAAGAAGCAACAAGGATTGATTTCAATGAATTTGGTAATGATCTTAACACTGCTAAACGAGTCGTTTTGGAAACCCTGGACATTTGTCGTGATAATCAAATCAAGAGCTCGATCGAAGCTTGCTCATCTGTCGGCCACATGCTTAATGAGGTTAATCTAGCCATCATTCTTTTTTTTTTTTTCAAATATTTATAGTTTTGTTAAATAATAACAGTAGATAAGCATAATATTGTTTATGATTCAGGTTTTTGAGTTGGTGGTGGAACCACTGTTAGTGCAACCCACTTTTGTTTTAGACTACCCGCTTGAAGTATCCCCGCTAGCCAAACCACATAGAAGGTGCAAAAAACTGTCCTTTCCATTTTTTTATTTTTTTATTTTTTAAATGTGGAGGACGAGTTGTGAATAAATTATGACTTGTTTGAATAATTTCATATTGCATCTATTTTTGTTTTTCAGTTTATTAGTTTTCCATATGATTTTCAGATATGCAGGATTGACTGAGAGATTCGAGCTGTTTGTATGTGGTCGTGAGATGGCAAATGCTTTCTCTGAACTGACTGATCCTTTGGACCAGGTAAGCATTGTGTTTCGTGAATTGGCAGTCATTTTCTCTATTATATATATATATGGCAAATTTGCCCCTAATATCATGACCTTTATCGAAGTTGCAATTTAATCATGACCTTTTCACTTTTGCAAATTATATCACAATCTTTAGTTTGATGCAAACGGTCCGAAAACAGCCATAGAAAAGCTGATATGGTCGAACAACAAACTGAAGATTGTGATATAGTTTGCACGGGATATGCAAATCGGTGCACCAATTTGCAACAAACTGAAGATTGTGATATAATTTGCAAAAGTGAAAAAGTCGTGATTAAATTGCAATTTCGAAAAATGTCATGATATTAAGTGCAATTTTGCCATATATATATTGAGTAGTATCCTTTTCTTACTTTTTGATGTGGGTGCAGAGGGAACGGCTGGAGGAGCAGGTGAGGCAACACGAAAAGAAGAAGTCCGCTTTAGTTTCGGATAAAAAAGAAGATAAAAGCAAGAAAGTGAATGATGATGAGGCATATGATGTTACTCTTGACGAAGACTTTGTAACAGCTCTGGAATATGGGATGCCCCCGGCTTCTGGTTTGGTATGTCAATGCCGCTTTCTTTTATTAAAAAAATGCAAAAAAAAAAAAAAAAAAAAAAAAAAAAAACCTTTAGCGCATATCTTATTGGTTTTTGTATATTGTTAGGGCCTTGGCATTGACAGGCTTGTGATGCTGCTCACCAACTCTGCAAGCATACGTGATGTGATTGCATTTCCAGTCCTCAAGACTACTCCTCAACACTGATATCTATTATTATGATACCAGTCATTTTTTGAATTTTTGCTTCACTTGTCTCTTATGGAGTGATGTGATGACTTATTTGATTATGTGTATTGGTTGCAATGCGGGCAGAAAATTGTCTGGTTGCTTTAATTGATTCAGCCTACTAATCCGTTTGTTATCGTTTGTGCTGAATTCATCTAATACATTTGAAGCTAATGCTAATACTCGTTGCTAAAATATTGAAAATAACTGTCTAGCATCGCTCACAAATTTATTTTTCTAATCATTTAATCCTTTGTTGAATGAGCTCTCTAATAATAGCAGGCTCGTTTACACATGCACATAACATTAGTTTTTTATTTATATATATACGAGCATTATAACTTATTTGCAGCCTAATAATTTTTAGGTGAATTAAGTGTAATTAGTGCTAAAGAATGATCCTAACTCTTGTTTATGGTCATGACATACGAAACTATAAGTGGGAATTGTCACTGCTGAAACGTAAATGGAACTCTAAGAACGGAAGGAGTTATATTCATTTTAGAAACCAACATCTTATCGCTAGCGTGATCTGCTATCAATATCTTGCATTCGAGCACATGAATGAAGAGTTTGGTCACAACCAATTGTGTTTCATTCATAGTCTCATATGTTTCTTAACAACATGACTGAAGTTCCTATCTTCAAATGCAACTCATGGTTCGGGGTTCCTGAACACTTGATGCTATTCAAGAACTCGAGCATGTGGAGATCTGCTAAGAAGTCGTTGTCGGAATATGACTTAGACATACTGTCAGAGTTTAAATATGTACGACTTTAGCAGATTTCATCTCTGACATGTATTGATTGATAGACTCAATGACTTCCAATGTACGCGCTAACATAGCCATGTTCTTCAAATAAATTGGATCATGATCATCTGCATTCTTGAACACTGAATATGTATTTCCCACAATTGTAGCAATTGGCTCATCAGAGGGATCCAATCTTATATCATCTGGTATGTCAATCGAGGTACAACCATCATTTGATCCTCCTATGGTCCCATCTCCATGCTCGCAATCCAATCAGCAAACGCTGCTAGCTCATCACTCTCTTCTGAATCAGAAATGCTCTGAAGACGCATGTTTTTTGTAAGTCTTTAAGCAGTATAATCCCTCCAAATGTTGGAAACATCAATGGTTGCATTCACAATGTCCTGGCGGCTACTTTTTGGAATGACTGGAATGATGTGTTGGAAGTCTCAACCAAACATAATAGGCTTGATCCAAAGCCATGATAGCTAACAGTGTTGCTTGAACAACTTTGAGTTAATGTTTGTGCATCATCGAAACCTCGTCCCGTATGATGAGAGAGCATTGTATTATCAATTCCGCTAGAGGACTTGCTTGGTTGATCTCGCATGACGATATTCATAAATATTCCACGGTATGCGAAATCGATAGTGTGCAGTTCTTCCACTAGGCAATAAAAGTGATGTTATTCCACTCGATGCCACACATAGAACAATTTTACTCTTCGATCGTAATGTCGCAGATGAATTCATTTACAAGTACGTCTTTCTAGTCCCACCATAATAAAAAAAAATACACCACCGGTACATGAATCGATAGCGGACATAGTTTTTTAATAAACTCCTTTCTGTTCGTCAGTCATTCTCTTAAGAAGTGTTTCGTGCTCCATAGCAAGGGTCTTCCGATAGTAATTTAGTTCATCCAATATAATGCTGTTTGAAGTGGTATAAATACTATCTTTGTCCTGATAAAGCATAGACAAATTTTCACGTAGACTTGTGCCACACATTCGCAACAAAGTCTCAATTTAGCAAGGGTGAGATTCTTTATAACATCATCATTGAGCTGCAAATCTAGAAGTTGAGAAATTCAAAACATTTGTTAAAGGATTCAAAATAAAATAATGCATATTGTTGAAGAAGAATAAAATATTATAACAAATCACATGATAAAGTGAAAGATACATAAAAAAAAATAAAAATTACCATTGTTATTAAATAGTTGTCGCTCCTATAGAGAATGTCATCAGATAAAAATTGCCTACACCGTGCCCATACATCATTAGGTCTACCCAATGAACCAAAAACCAACAATGACGCAAACATATTTCTAAGAGACTCAGCAGATGCCCAATAACTTGCTTCGGTTATACCGTCTATATACTCTCTATCATCATTCAACAATTCGCGTTCAAAGAAAGCATCTCGATAAGTCAAATACTGGACGTCGCTAACTTTCATGGAGTCCATAGCACCCCGAACAACATTCAACAGACATCTTAAGTAGTAACTATCCGCGCGCGCGCGCCGCCGACCGGCCAACAGGCTCGAAACTCCGAAGTCTGGTAAGCTACAGCTTCAGAGACAATTGTCATTGTATCTTTGGAGATAAGACACCTGAATCTATCAGCACTACACGTGTCATGTTCATCTTTCGAAAAGAGATATTCTTGTCTCGGCTATACTCTTATCGCTTCTAGTTCCATTGTAATTTTTTGTACTTTTTTTTTGTTTTGTTCATGTTTTAAGAACTGAATCACGCTATTTAGTTTGTAGGGTTCTCATATAATTCGACACTCAATTTATAACACATAGTAGTGTATAATAGATAATTAGCAACTAACATAGCCAGCCTATTTCGATTAATTAGAATAACGAGAAGGAATTATCGAACTTTTTCTTTTTTGGCCAAAATAACGTAGGCCTTGTCCTCTAGACCGTAGATACATTGTGACACCATTTGTTATACACGAGTTATTGCCAAAATAACGTGGCTCTTGTCCTCTAGACCGTAGATATATTGTGACACCAGACTTTTTATTCTTTTTCTTTTTGTTCAAATTAAGATTAAAAATAAAAGAAAAAAGAAATTTGTGGGGGATTTTTGTTAGAGCACCAAAATCTTTTTGTTGGCTTTGATGATGATGCTGGTTCAAAACACATTGCATGCTGCTGATTCCCAGCAGCCCCACCACTTAAGAGGCATGGGGCACTCTTTTCATAACCCATCATACATTGTGCGCCTTTATAATACAATATTGTATTCTAAGGCAATCAAAGGTCACATTATAAGCCCACAATTAATCATCCCTCCTATTATTATATATATATATATATTTTTTTTCTTCGAAACGATAGAACTATTATATAACTAGCACAAATGTGACCTTTTTAATAAATTTCTAAAGAATAATGTCAGATATATGTCGCTTTTTAAGAAAAATTTAGTGGCGGCAATTCAGGTCGGTTTTATTTGTTTATCTTTTTTATGGTAAAAAGTAACTTTTCATGTTTCACTTTGGCTTTTTGGCATCTAAAGCATCTTAGCTGCTTCTAAGATGTGATTAGAATAAGTAGAAGCATTTGATGCCCAATTTTTAAGTGAACAGAACAAAATACAGAAAAATATCCATAAATAAATGATTGGAAATATTCTCATGAAAAATATTTGATGTCTACCAAGTTGTGCTTCACATGTATAACATAATACA